GCAACCGGTCGCCCCTTACTTCGAGCCAGTGGCCCAAATGCATGCAACCATTGGCATGGATCTGGTTGTCGCTGAGGTCCAGGGCCTCTGCTGGCCAGTGAGTTTGGCTGCCTCGCTTCAAGCCCTCCCTGCCTGCAAGCAGTAGTCCGGGTCCAGTAGAGAGGCCAAGCGTCTCGCCCCCCGATCCCCTATCTTGTTGTGGCCTTGGCAAGTACCCTAAACCCTAAACCCTAAACCCTACCGACCTCTGCTTGACAAGACCCCCGGATGGCAACTGCTAGCGCTGAGGATGGCACTAAGATCAAGGTGTGTGAGCATGTGGCCATAGGAAAGACCACCCATCAACACCTGGCTTGCAAAGATCAGGTCCTTGATCCTACGACTTGCCGATGTTACGGAAAACAGCTCGATCTTATCTTGCTTCTCTTGACGAGTTTTCAATCTGCACTTCCGGTGGCAAAGAAAAAACTTAAATGCATCACCTCTTGCCCTTGCTGTTCATCACCAACTCCAAGATCAGAGGGATGGGAGAGGGGCGGAGGGTACACACAAACATAATATCATGCATGTGTGAACACAAGGGGCTCTGTGTGTGTGTGTGCATATATGTAAATATGTATCTATATAGTTAGAAAGGAAGATAGACAGACAGACAGATAGACATGTAGGTAGATAAAAGAGATAGATATATTAGACACATACGCATAGTAGCCGCCATGCGTGGCTTGCACTCATTGCCCGCAAAGGCAAACTGAAAAAAGTAGGATCATCGTCATAGTCCTCCCGCAAGTCAAAATCCCGAATGCTCGACGTGCGGTTGTGGAAAGCGCTACGAAAACCGAAGACACAGAGAAGGAATGCCATGCGTGTGAGGTGCAAGCGGGAGAAAGACTGGCAAGAAAGACCAAGAGACCCTAAACCTTAAACCTTAGCTAAACCCTAACCCCTAACCTAAACATTTCCATGGAGCTGAGGATGTCTAACCGAAGGAGTCCGGAACAATGGCTTGGAAGAGAATAGAGGCTGACTGCGCCAACTTTCGCGGTTTCTGCGTAAACGAGCGCCAGATTCAACCTCTCCAAGCTTGTCACCTCAAGTAAAGGAGCTGGCGGGAAGAAGAAAAGGTTCTGTTGAAAATGACAGCAGGAAAGAGACAGAACGTGATGCTTACAAACAAACCACGGATTGAACAACTCCGTCGAGAAAAGCTCAGTGCGGGTTTGCGTCATTACTTCATGGGATATTCCTTCTATGCACGGTGGAGATCATCTTCATGGAAAACACTCAACCCGTCCAACCCAATGACGGTTTTCGCTTCTGCTGTCTCGGCGTTTTAGACGGTTCGACAGCATCTGACCCGATGGGACTACACCACCACTTGGACGAAGAGTATCAAGAAATTATGAAGACGAAGGCTTGATGCGGACGCTGCGTATCTAGTTCGAAAACTGCCTTGCACCTATGTTGGCTGGAGATGATGTGAGCAGGACACTCACTGCCTCTCTTTCCTATATCCCATTCCACTACGGGCCTTCACAAGCTCGTCATCGATCATGTTGCACCTAGAAGCTGTCCCAGAATATGCGTCTCCTTTACTTGCGACGTCTAGTTGTTGAGCTAAGCCCTGCACGGCAACGAGAGTGAAACCAAAGTTTGCGACACGCGAATGTCCCGCGCGAGATACTGCGCCTGCAGCAAAAAGACGAGCAAGCATGCTCACACGGCCAATCATGAGAAGTGCGCAGCATGCATAGGTGCAGACAAGTACTGTTGCAGCTCCATGAATGCATCTGCAGTTCCTACACGACAGCACCGAGCACACGGCGTCTGAGATCTTCATGCCGAACATCGCACGCTCGTAATCCATCCCCAGTCGCTTGTTGCCGTAAGTAATCGAGAACGTGCACCTGAAACACAGACTGCCGCACAGCGAGGACCAAGCCAACAAGAAGCGCGATGACTGGCGATGCGGCAGCGCAGGCAGCGCATCGAAGATGAAGCTTAGATCCTGCGGCGATAGATGCGAACAGGCAATGAAGCCCCCAAGTGGACATCTGAGCTCAGGTCCAAGTGGGAGGGGAACTGAGTAATCTGGAGTTGATAGACGTAGAGCCTGCCAAGGGATCGGAGGACTCAATGACCCGCTCCAGCATGCGACAAGCCCAAGACGAGGAATGGCCTTGAAGCCATGACTTGCTGCTTCAACGCTTCGAGCTCGGGATTCCCATACCTAAAAACATGAAAATGTCAATCTTTCAAGACAACGGATCTACCAGGCTCGGCCGCCAACTTCTCAATTGTGCCAACGTGAAACATCGAAAAGGCAGGCAAGCCAGCGCCGACTGTGTCTACACAGGTTTGTTCATACCGTGCTGGATTCAGCACGCTAAATCACACAGAGCGCCGGACTCTACGGTGATGGGTACCCGCTCCAGCGCCTCTTGCAACTCTATCCTCAGTCGGAAACGAACCCATCAGTGCGATGTGCAAGTCACTCGAAAAAGCTCGCTTTTGTTGTGCCTCTGCTGAACTACATCACATTTCCTAACATCAGGCACAAAAAGGTGCAAATTGTCCAAAAGGTAGGCACTGCAGCTTAGGCTGGAGAGGAGCTCAGCCATCTTCACGAGGCTCGACTGTGAGAAACTCTGCCCCAAATTCTGAGAAAGCAGCTCCAAGTAAGTCTGCTTCCAGGACATACCATGCCTCGGCGTTGCTAACAAAAAGGGTGGGGTGATGGTCGGAATGCGTAACGGTGAGAGCGGTGATGCTGACGATGATGATGGTGATGACCGTCCCTGGTCATGGCACCACTTGCTGATGAAGACAGTGAAGATGATTAGGATGGTGCTCAAGATGGCACTAACCATCATGAGAGTGATGGTGATGTTGGCAATATGATTAAGGCTTGCGAGGTTGAGTCTTTGAGCCATAAGCTCAGGTATGTGCTGATGGCGGCAGATGTGGTGTGATTGTTTGGAGCACCAGGAATGGAGCGCTAGCGACTGAAATATGTTGCCAATAACTGCCATACTCATCATTGCTCAGGCTTCACTTGCTCACATCTTGACACCTTCTCGTTGACATGTGCAGTGTAAAACCTCGGCTTGCTGTGCTCGTCAAGGACCTGGCCCTGCCGATGTCGCCTGCACCCATGTGCTGCTGCTGGCCGCAAAGGCGCGTGGCTATTTCCTGCTGTAACATACTGTATGAAAACAGGTAGATAGCTAGACAGATCGCTATCCACCAACATAGACAAACTGAGATGCGCTGACATGGCACCCGTAAACCCCAAACACTGAAACCTACGACCCCACCTGAAACTCGAAAGCCAACAAAACAGGAGCCTAAAGACAAAACCTGAGGGAAAGCTCCCCGGGGCCGCCACTTCTCAACTTGTGCATTCGGGTGCTTCGCCTGCCAGCTTCGACAATGACATTCTGAACTTTGGGTATGGGAGGTTTCTAGGGGCTAGAGAGAGTGTTGTGTTGGCGGTTGAGGGATACACGGATCACCAGCTGAAGTGAAACCATCTGCTTTGATCGTTCTGAAGAATATCTTGCCATTGACCATGTCCGCCGTGCTTTGAGCATCACAACATGGGCATTGGCATGACTATGACTATAGAGAAGCATTTTCCCACCTGTGTCCGCCTCTTCCAATAGTTTTCGTCGTTGATCCTGCAGTCATCGCACTTGTCATGAGCCCTTCTCGGGCAGACATCACACCTCCGATTCTCCCTGGAGGGTCAGTCGCCATCCCGACTCGGTTTGGTTCTGTCTCTTGGAACCCCCGAAATCTCCAAATCTCCAAAAGCTCTGAATGTCCCACGGGCCGTCCTAAGAGCAGCTTCTGGAAGGGGCATGTCGAGGTCCAGCATGGCATAAACATCCTTTTCAGGCACAGTGTCATAGTCACAAGAACTATCAAAGTTGCTCAGAAGTCATGATCACCGTCAGAGTAACCAGCTTCGTCTCCCTACTGCCCCACGGTGCAGAGCAAGTGCCGTGCTGCATGGCTCCTCCAGCTGCTTTCGCCCGAGCTTGGCGTGCAAGTTGTCATATTCTCAGCTTCAAGAAGCTGTCTCAAGAGACTCCGAATCACAACTGCATGGCAATGATGGTGGGCAGACACCTGTGCTATCCAAGTCACGGTCTTGTCCGTATCGAATTAGAACATCAACAGGTCATGCTGAACAACAGTCAGAGACGAGCAAGGCAACGGGGAACTCTAGCTTCATCCACTTGTTGCACCGAGCTCTGGGTGCCAGCAAGCGGCGCAAGAAGTTCTCCGCCACACGCTGCAAACAAATTTGCACCAAACTGCGAGGCCGCACTTTGACCTGTGCGCAGAAGCCCGAAATCGGCGAATGGTCAAATGATGGTGGCCAGTCGCAAGCCCCCGGAAACTTCACAGGAATCGGAATCGCAAACCGTCCAGGGCCTTCTCAAGTGCTCGGAAGCGGATGTTCTTCGGCTTCAGCATGGCATGCAGCCCTGAGGAGAAACTCTATAGCCAGAAGCACAACGGCCTTATCAGCATTTCTGAGGCCATGATTACTACGATCACTACGGTTACTACTCTTGGCAGCCTTGCGATTATCGTCGTTATTCATACTAAGCAGTACTACCATGATGACTATTATTGGCATTTTTACGATCATTACGACTATTGCTACAGTATTACTGTCACTGCTGTCTTCAATGCAACGGCTCTTGCCAGCAGAGACTTCAGTTCCCGGGGCCCGCACCTCTCCTCGGGGCGCCGGCCACCCTGGGACCGTTCGCTCCGATCCTCCTCCCTCCGGAGAGCCAACACGAAGCTTAGGGGCTTGGGGGTTTAGGGGTTTGTGGGTTTGGGGTTGCGGCGATTTGGATGTCAGCTGTAAGCGATACCTCCATGCTTTGGCCATCGTCTTTGGCTGCTCTGCTGCTGCGCTCACTGCCGGCCACCTACTTTGGGCCGATCGACGTTACGTCGCGTCGCTGGGTCACTTCAGCTCACTTTGGCAAGTTCTCCATCAGGGGATGGTAGCCTGAGTGCCAGAGGAGCTTTGCGATGCAAGTCAACCTTCGATTTCTTCCTCCCCAGTCAACCCGTTGCCGTGAAATACACTCTCAATGGATTCCAAGACAACATTCAAATTTGGCGAGGATGCTTGGAAGGTCGGACAAGGCAGTCGTCTTGGGCTCCTTGTCAATCCTGGCAAGATCATTGGACCTCTTGCACGGCTAAGCCATGAGGTGTGCCACACTCTTGGCGCCTGAACTTGCCCCACCGGTGTTTGTCAGCGAGCCGCTTCCTTGGAATGCATCTGCATGAGACTTCAACACACTCTGGCTCCACCAGCCGCTCCTTCCACGAGAGGTTATCCAAAAAGGCAAGGAAGGCAAGACACAGTGCGATATATCAATATTCTGTTCATCCAATATTCACAGAACACCAGCTATCGCTGGTATAATCAGAAGCCGGGCTTCTTCTTTGCTTCTCTCTGCTGTCGTTCGTCCCAGGCGTAGATCAGCATGCGGCCTCAGCTCGGGTGCGAGCTTGCCTCCATCTCTCTGTAGTGGGTCCATACATGTATGCAAACAAAGGCTGTGCGTGTATGTGCATCTACGTATTTGTACATACACATAAAATACATGTATATGTATACATGTTGATACGTATATCCAGTCTTATGCATATTTGGTGCAAACTTTGTCGGCGTTTACGGTCTACGTACTATATGCATTTATATGAATGTTGTACACATTGGCCGTTAGCATCCTGTACGTATGTGCGCATGCACGTTACGGGATTCTTTTATGCATGCATGCATGCATACATGGATGGATGGATGTCGAAACCATTTGCCTTGGGCGCGATGAGACTGGAAGCAGCTGCTATTGCGCAGCATCGCAACATTGAACCGGGTTAAGGTTGATTGAAGGCTGATGATCATCCGACATTCAAGCAAGTTGCATCGCTCGCCGACCGGGCCGAATGCAGAACAGACTAAGAACACAGCACCGCACAATTTCACGAGAAGCATGACACTAGCAAAAAAAAAGACACGCAATTCCAGTCCAGATCTGAAAGAATTGAATGCACATAGCTCGGTGGTACTAGGAGCCGCGACGGTAACGCTCCGCCGAAACTTCCCGTGTTTGCCTCCGGGTGACCTGCAGCATCTTCTCTCAAAACAGAGCGCTGTGACTATGCGAAAATAGGATAGGAACTCATTGCCTTGCTCATCTATTTTCATTCTGCGGAAATTCTGATGCCAAGGCACATGGTATGGACCAGGAAAGATGTATGGTGGCAAGCGCGCCTGAGCGGCAGAGCAGGTGACTTTTTGATGTTCACTCGCCTCCTTCCTCACCATGCACATTCAGAACCACCTTCGGCAGGTACCGAGAAAAGTGTGTCGAGCCTCCTTGCGCTGCATCTGATACCGTCGTCGCACAGCTGCGAGCTCTCGGCGAATCTTTGGCTCCAGTGACCTCCATAAAGTGAAAACGAGATCTTGATCCATCCGTGGTATCGCCACAGCCAAAGAGGGAGTCGCTTGCTGGCTGCGAACAAGGCACATGATGCCAGGCCGCTGAGGTGTATGAAATCGCCAGCGGAGGCGCTTGCCCCAGGAGTACTTGCCACCTCAAAACATGGGCCGATACTGAGATGACACCAGATCTCCGACTGAGCCACTGGCGCACAAAATAGTGCCAGGCATAACCTCAGCCGACAACCGTCCCTCGTGACGGCACTATCCAACTATCTCCGCTTCTCTCAGCTTGGGAGCGGTAGTTTCTGGTGAATGGCCGCTTGTCCACATTCGCGGACCTGCAGATGCCACTGAGACTGTAGGAAATCCTACTAGCTAGAATGGATACCCGAAAGACCAGAACTCATAGAATGCTCCCGCCTTGGCTTCAGCGCCTGGATCACGCGAACCCCGAGCACTCGAGGCCTTGGACATCGGGGGTGCATCCTTTTGCAAAACTCCGAGTAGTGACAGCTGGCATTAGAACACCGTGTGGCGCTGCGTCCATGCATTGCCTGACTCGACCAGAACCCCAGGAGCAAACAAAAAACATGACGAGACAACACAAACAAGTCCGTATTGACTAGTTAAACTAAGAACTCCGCAGAAACGGAGGTAACTACGAACGAAACACACGGGTCCCAATGCTTGACTTAATGCTCGGCTCTCTGCGAATAGCGTGGGACCAGCTGCTCCACTCCGACTCCATCGTAGGTATTTTTCAAGACCTCATAGTTGCGAGATTGTCGGATCTCCTGAAACCATAGGCAGATCTGTCTCCCAAGCCCCCGTCGAAGCCCGAGTTCAGGAACTTGTTCCGCACTTCGACGCAGAAGCCTCTGAGCGGGATGAGGGGGTGCGCACCAAGAACTGCGGCCGTCCTACTTCAATAGCAGTCCCCCATGGGTCTTCTTGCCTTGAAAGACGGCGAAGGTTTGCTGGCTGCCTTGCGGGGATGCAAGAAAACAAGGCTGATAGCGGTGCGGCGAACATGGTGTAGCCGCTGGAGCCGTTGGATGTTGGGAGTACGCGAAGAAAGAAGCCGTCCGAGCGGACACCATCTTGCCCTCGTACATTGCCGTACATTTGACGACAACTTCGGCCAAGCAGCGACTCAGCTCGTACTTGACCTCGACGAGATCACCTGGCCTTGAGTTATGCCCAATTCAGAGTTGCACACACACCGACACTCCATCTTCTCAGCCAGGGCCTTATCTGAGGCATCGGAAAGGACCGCTGGCTCCTCATCTTCTCGATTTCCTGCATTTGGGGAGTATATCTTCGTTGCTCTACCCCACCTTTGTCTCTGTCCTGCTGATGCAGCTGGTGCATGATATCTCGGCAGCGTTGTGGAGTCATTGGGTCACCAACCTGCCAGCTCTTCGCAAGACGTCCGAGCAAGAGGAAGAAGGCAGATTGCCTGGTCCATCGGTGGCCACTGCCTGGGCTGCACGCAATGCACAAGCAACTGCAGGACCCTCAGCTTTTGAGACTCCCAAATCTCATCACACCTTCTCGCTCAGACAAGGATGAAAGACACGGCAAGGGCATCTCAGCATTCCGCCAATGCATAGCTGCATCGAAACTCAAGCTCGTCTCAGGACAGCACTTGCCAACGACGGGGCTATCCACTGTGAACACCTGCAGATGCATATCATGCGGTCTTGTATGTGACGGAGTGCTTCTCCGGCAGACACGCATCTTGCTTCGCATATCGTAGCAGCAACATCAAGACAGGGCCCCGCCTTTTCGCCCGCGCGTGAAGGCCGAGCACGCTCTCGCCTCACTGAATCAGATTGAATGGAGACGACAAAGAAAGACATGCTACAGGTTAAGGCCTGCGGTTTAGGGTATGCGGAAGTCAGAAAACCGGGCGTCCCTGAGAATCCGACAGCCATCTCCGAGCAATGGCACAGCTTCCCAGCGTCGGCAAACTGTCATCTTGAAGACTTCAAACATTGCAAGTGGGTGGCACCCTTATAAAAAGGACCCTTAGAGAACTACCCATGTGAATTTTGCTGGCAGTCGCTGAAACACCTACTGGTAGAAACCAGCAGTGGCCTGCTGCTGGTGCCCAGGGCATTCCAAAACGCGCCACAGCCTCAATCGCAGTTTGCAGTCATGGAGCCTGAATGGCAACCCAAGTAAAGCAGTCATGGAAGCACAAAAGCATGCGCTGTGTTGATCTGGGAGGCCAGCGAACAAGGTGCCTGGAAGAAAGCATCACGATCAAACGCCCTTAAATTCGGGACGGATCCATCATTGCGCAGTGAACTCAGTGACCACGTGTGAAGCTTCAGGCTATGGACTCCGATGTACTTGCAGAAGTCCTAAACCAAGTGTGTGTTTCCCAACGCTGGTCGTCCTGGTGAGCCAAGACACAATGTCAAGGGGCGCTCTGACAAACCCCACATCGACGGGGTGCTCATCACCCTTTAGCAGGTGAAGCGGGTGCAAGGCGCTTTTGCTGCATGGCAGATGCCGAACTCAGGCATCTCAGTTGTCCCGGCTCTTGTAGCCTGGACAACCTGTGCCGAATTAAGCACTCAACCGGTAAGCATGGCGACTTTAAATTTGTTTGTGGCGCTCCGCGCATGCGCATTGGATTGTAGTTTATTTTAAAGCAGGCATGTGACCATGCTTCTGGGTGGTGAAACATCCTGCTTGCATCGCTAGTTTGCCGTTCCATGGAGAAGTTGAGCAAGGGTTGGTGCAAGGCCGGGAGCAATGCTGGATGTCGTGTTCGAACAAGCAGACTTGTCAGTACCTTCTCTGCCTCTCCTCAGGACAGCGACCACTCTCACAATACCGGAGCAAACAGCGCTGGTGGCGACCTGGGCCCAGAGGAAACTCGGAGAGGACATTTGTAAGAACGGAAGCTTATGAAACGAGCCACAAGATACTGCAAGCCTAGGCCAGGAGCAACGACTGCGGGAACACTGAGCCGTGCGATCGTGGTGACCTGAAAGCAGGCCATGACAAAGAGCACGCGGACACCACGAAATGCTGCTCTGCAGCACGATGCGCAGCTGCGGTCACTGCTCGACTGCAGGCCACTTTGGTGCGTCGAACCCGAGGTCCGTGGGCTGCCAGGTACATCCGCAATCGCATGCTTCATGATGCACACTGAGCAGCGATTGATTCCTGCCCCCTGACCTTTCCAGCTCGACCGCTGGCTGGAGCGACCAAGAAGGTCTCCTGAAAGAACCGATTTGTAGATCTTGTCTACACTTCTACACAGGCTTCGTCCACTGTCCTGCGCCAGCTGCTCATGCAGACGGGATGGCTGCTCCTGGCATGGAGAAGTCGTTGTCTTCCGATTTAGGCGACAGGCCGAGCTCGAAATCTCAGAATCACACGTAAAATCGGCTTGGCGAGCTGTGTGGGGCCATCGCCTGCAGGTCTGCACAAGAAGTCTCAACCGTCCGTCAAACACCGACACCGGCATCAAACTCCCAACTATCTCCAAAAGAGCATTGCGGCTCCGAAGCATGGATTGTCGGAGATCCCTTGAGCGGACGAGCGGACCGGTGCCTTCGCATTCAACTTGCTGCCCTGCTCCGTTTAGACTTTCCCTTCAAGCCAGCTTATGGCGTAAAACGGCTGTCCTGGTCCTCCTCCGCCCTCCTTGGAGATTCCCTTCTGGACGACCTGGCTTCGGGCTTGGAGCTACGGCTACTTAACAGTCGCTCACCGCTCGAAAGTTACTTCGTGCCGTCTTGTACTGTTCTTCCCTCTCCCTTCGTCTACTAATCCCCTAAACCATGCTAAACCCTAAACCAGTATGACAGTATCCGAGTTCTGCAGGCCACACCGAAGAAGCCCAAAGAAAGCTGCCACCTGGCGCTCTTCGCTGGGCCAGCCGATCCTTGAGCTCTGCATCTCGGTTCTTTTTTTGGGGTGCTGTAGGCTTTAGGGACTTTAGCTTGGGTTTTCTTTTGAATGTCTTTTTCCCTTTGCTAAGTAACTTTCGGGTTTAGGGTTTATAGCGTGTGGACCTGTAGGATGCTAGCGCAACAAGATGTGAAAAAAAACAACAGACAATAAAGAACTGAGACGGGGACTCAACGGCATCGCCTCTGGTGCCTCCAGCTGGCATACGCAAAATGCTCGATCCGGCAACCATCGAGCTTTGAGCAAGAAGACGCCTAAGAAAGTCGTGGCCAGTGTCAAGCACTCACCCGTGAAAGGCATTTCACTGCATTCCACAGCACGTGCCTTGAACCACTGGATGCCGTCTGCGCACTTGTCCTGCGGGCTACTATGGTTTTGTCGCAGCATCATGCCACCAGAAATCGGCCTGTGAGCTCCACCCTCTTCTGATGCAGAACATGACGGGGATCTGGGGTGCCCACTGCTGCTGCCGATGCTTCTGACCTCGATGGGCTCGGAGACCTGATTTCTCAACAGATTGCAGGTCTCGGCTTGGGATTTCTGTCCCACGGTCGGATCCTAACCCATCTCCTCCATCCATTCTAGAACTCTGTCAAACGAACTCTCGAAGATGCCCTGGCTTGCAGTGCGTGGGCAGATCTCTCAGATTCTGTCTGGTCCTGTACTCACCAGCAGCTCTCACGCACACTCACACACAAACAAACAAAAGCACCTTCAACCTAGTAGGTGCCATTACCAGCCAAACATCTCCTGTATAGGTCCTAAACCGATAGACTTTACCCGTTGCACCTTGTCGGGCTAGCTCGAGCCCCATTGAAGTGCGCATGGGTCGTCGACTCCGGGGTAGCAGTGCTCTCAGAGTCGCCTCACAGCAGTGGCTGTGGCAGGCAACTCTCTTTTAGGGTTTAGGGCTTTGGGTTTAGACGGTTTAGGGCTTAGGGCTTAGGGTTTAGGGTTTAGGGTGAAGCCTCGGGATTTGAAATTCTCAGTTTCGCTGGGCCAAGCAATGCACAATGCAAAATGTGCCTCGCCAGAACGGGCAGGTGAAGAGCAGCGGTTTGGTTGGCTCCTATCCACAGCACCGTGTGCCAAGCAGCAGTGCATGCGGACGGAAGCAGATGAAGCAAGGCTATTAGTTAACCCACCAGCAAAGAAGCCAGAGAACAGAATTGAGACACAAGCCCGCAGTGCCTTCGCAGCCTTTCCAGCTGCATCCCAGGCTGGCGCATCAGGCGACCTGCCGCGAGCGAAGACCCTGAAAAACGGTAGAATCCACTCCACCTGAAATCCAACAGCGTAAACCAACAGCCTTAAAGCTGCACGTGAAGCCGTAAAGCGGAAGCCGCCAACCGAAGCCTCACCGATTGCTAGACAGGCTCTGAAGCCTTCCGCACCCGTCCAGGAAAACTATGTAACTGCACGAGCGTTCAGATGACCAAACTGCTTCTCCTTCCGAGGCTTGTAGCTCATCAAAGGGAGCTCCCCCGCATCAGATGCTCTGCTGTTGGAAGCCCAGTGAAATGCCAGTGGATCTTGGAGTCCAGACTTCAAGATTGAAACTTAACGACACTGTTGAAGCTCGCCGATGCTGTAGCCGTGGCCATCTGTGTTGTGACGAACAGGCTCTTGGGCAAGGAGTCAGCAAGGAAAGGTCCAGGAGGTCAGATGCTCGGATGCGACCGCCCTGACCCGCACACAAGAGCCGGAAAGGCAGCATGGACTGAATCAAATGAGTCAATGCACGCATGGCCGGCGACCCGAAACATCCTCCCATGGAGTGGCCTTTGGGCATGGAAACATGTTGCTCCCTCTGCTTCGGAGACAGGCCCAAAGAGGTGGCAGCGTCGACGGCTGCAACCAGACCAAGAAGACCACGATCAAAACAGAAGGTTCCACAGGCATCTTGCGGACGTTCTGCACAGGAGCTGAGGAGACCCTGCTGGCACTTCACTACCGCACAACCAGAACCCCCCCCCCCCCCCCCCCNNCCCCCCCCCCCCCCCGCGCTGAGGCCTGCCACGACGGATGCCAGTGTCGCGCACGCTGCCTGGCAGAATGCGATTGCTTGCGGCTTCGAAGAGGCTGCTTCCAAGGCCTCCCGCAAGGTGGAGGCCGCCGCAAGGGAATGGAGCGGGAGCCGGCCGGCCTGCACGGCCTCGCATCCAGCGAGCGGGACAGTAGGGGACGGAAACCCCGGCGATCCCCTGGGTCCTTCCATGCTCGCGCTTGAAAGGCGGGTGCGCTGTTCATGTAGCTCCTTCACGTGGCGACGGCTGCAGCTCAGAGAAGCTGACTTGACAAGCAACCTGAAGTTTCACAGGTCCAAGCCCGGAATCCCTGCGCAGCAGGAGCCTTCTCGTAGTTGAGGAGCCATGGTGCCCAGAGATCAGACCTTAGCGCTTTCCTCAACGCTTACTTGCCCGAGTCAGTTCTGCTGGGGCAGCTGCGCTTTGTGCATGCTGCCAGCCCGTCCTTGGTCATTCAACACAGGCCCTTGCTCGTGCAGTCTGCACTGGATAGTACTTGCCAAAGATTGAAGATTGGAGAAAGATGCACTGATCACCATACTTGTAGAATCGCCCGGAACGACTTCTCAGGACCGAATGTCTTGTCTGCAAGCTCACTCAGCAGCTGTTAGGGCATTCTTCATGTCCTGTGTCGCAAAGCTTCTGCAAGAACTGTTGGCGATCTTGGTCATTAGCCTAGTGAGAACAGGCGGCTTATGGCCAATTGCATGCGTTCAACCTCAGACTCAAGCTACGTTGCTAGGCGCGGCTTCTGCCATGACACTACAATAGTACTGCAGCTGCTTGTGCGCTCTTCACTGTTGCGCGACGGCGCCCCTCGAAGATGAGTCCAGATGGTGCTATGAACTGTGACATGCCCAGCACAGCTACCGGCTCCTACTCTCTTGCAGACCATTGCAGACCTTCATGTCGACATGCCGAGGCCGTCGCTTGAGTGCGGGGTCTCGGCACCTTTGCAACTCCCGACCAAAAGAGACCTCCCACTTCTCAGCCACTGAGCCGACTACGTGCAGAGGGGAACTCTTCCTCCGGAGGCACAGAGAGACACACAGCTCGGGGCATGCCACTGCTAGAGGAATGCGAGCGCGAATCTGGTCCTGTGCACGGCACGGTGACAACACTGCAGCCATTCGTGATGAGCTTCTGTGGGTGGCCTGAGCCACTGGCAGCTACAGTGCTACAGATCTCGATCTTGCTCATCAATGCCAACCCAGCACTCCCAGTTCATGTACCTGCAAGATAGCTGTCTACTACACCATATCAGCGAAACGATGGCCTTGCTCCTGTCTCAACCCAAACACCGCATGTCCATGTCATCTGACAGGACCAGTTTTGCAAGATGGTCAGGCAATGCACAGGGGACGCGGTCTTGCAGCACTGCACGAGCAAAGAATACATGGAACAAGCAACTTGCCCTGCTCATCTTCATCTTGCTGCCACTGCTCGTCCACAAAGGCCCTACAGTACATCTTGCTGTATCGCCAAGCTAACCTTGTATCAACAGCTGATCGCTTGCATGAGCCCGGCGTGAAACTCAAAGCTCTCGCTTCTGCATGCGGCGGGCAATGTCGAGCGTCGCCTGCAACGAGGAAGCCATGCCCCGAGCCCCAGAACCATGTCGGTTCTTAGGAAAGTGCAAACGAAAACCGAGCTACCACCGAGAAGAACACACGTAGCACAAGACTGCAGGCCCTTGGGCACCCCCGACATTTCGAAAGGCAGTAGGCTCCAGCTCCCCAACCCTTTTTCTCCTTTATAACACTGTATTATTTCAGCCAACTTGCGTCGCTCCAACGTCCAAAACTCTCCATTGGTGCTATACCTGGTACTTCGCCTTAGCCCCGGCCGAAGCCGTCCGTAACCCATCGCTTGAGTGATTGCGGAAGCTGGGCGTGGTGGGATGAACACCCCTGATTTCTCAAAAACCGAAACAACCCACCCCCCCGCCCCCCTCCGTTATCTTTTTGCACTCTGAATCTGCTAATTGGGCCCTGATGTGCCTGGGACCGGGCCGCGGCGGACGACGCGAAGCGTTTACAACGAAACCGAATCCGGCCTCCATCTTCCGTAGTCCCACCGTCTCTGCACGCAGCACTCTCTTGACAAAAGCAACTCGAGCTTTTGCTGCTGCAGCCTGGGGCACATGAGCTTGGCCGAAGGAGTGCGCAAGTCTCAAAGCTGCTTGTCAACGCCGGGGCACTGCTTCGTCAAACTCTCCACGCCAAAGATGCGCTTCCTGATCCCACGGTTGACGAAAAATCAGGTGGCATAAATGTGCGAAGTGATTGGAAAACCCAGAATACGTGACAGTTCAGCTTCCCAGCGATTCTTGCCATTTGTGCCCAGCGTCTGCAGCAAGTGCTGCGATGCTGGACCCGATCTAGTGGGTCTGAGTGAAACACCAGCATGGGTCTAATGCTAAACCAACCTGTTGCACGACATGGATGGAAAGATGTGGCTGCAGGGCAACAACTGGAGGAATTAGAGGGGAATTGCACGCATCAATCTCTGCTACCAGGTGTCATCCAGGCCGGGCGAGGGAGGTTGCGAATCACGCAAGGTCCGGTGCAGCGAAATCAGATCCTCAGTGTTCTTAATCGTGGGATTGCTGCCAGGATACCCTTCTGCACTTGCAGCAGTAGTAATGAGCATTCCCACATGTGAGGATGCAGAAAGGATGCAAATGGTACAGTATCGTAGCATTTGACAGTTCTCGCGCCGTGGTTTGGCGAGTCTTGCAGGACCGCTTCATGAATTGACATAACAGGGAGTAATTAAGAGAATGTCTTAGACAAGTTTAGAGAACTGTGCTTGATGGTGATCGTACAAGTAGCAATGGGTCAGCAGTGACAACAGCATCGTCTGGGAATGTGTCGCCAAGTCTTTCGCAGATTGGAGGTCAGGTTCTGGTTGTGGCTTCGGGTGTCGCGAGGATGGGATACCCCTGGCCAAGGTACAACAAGGGTACTTTTGGTTCTACAACGGTACTACGTCGCTGCCGTTGTACTCCTTTGCTCCCAGAGCGAGGACAACAGCGCAAATCAAAGAAAAGACAGGAAGAGCCGGCCTGGACCCTCCAGATTCCTCGGCCCAAGTGGCAGTCATCCAATTCGCCTCCTTGCGCTCCGGCGGCCCGTCGCAGCCACGCTGAAACTGAAGAGAGACCAACTCCGCCTGTGCGTAAAAAAGACATCCACCTCTGTCTCCGCTTTTTGTCGAAAATGACACAAAGGTGCATGCTGCTGAGCTCCACTGACTACTTTTGGCAAGTTTCCCAAGGCACACCTTTAAGCCTTTAGCATGACCTTGCTCTGTGCATGGTGATGCTAGGCAGCACTGGTGCGCCTCCACTCGAAGCGGGGCCATTGCCTGAGAGCTTCAACATGCCCGAAAATTGCTGCACTCTAGATGAAAGCGAACATCAGGTGTTGGCTGATCGGCCCGAGCTGCATTGTAACGCAACCACAACTGACTCAGGCATTGCCGCAGCTCCTGCGAATTAGACAGTCCAGTCACGGAGAACCCCAGATCAATCCCGTCCTTGTCATCCATGTGCCCGCCACAATTATCACAAGCTTGCCAAACGCCAGAATCCGCAGAGGCCCACTGAATCCCACGACCTGGCCAGCGATGCGGCTTGCAACAGTGCAGCAAGCGGCTATCGTTACTAAGCCTCCAGCCACACCGGGAGCAGCGATGTCCGCGTGTGTCATCGAAGCCAATGCAGCGCTCGCACTGACAGTGGAACTGCCAAGGGCGATAAAGAGCGCTGCGCCTCTTCAACTCGACTCGCAACGCAAGCACTGCATGATGTTGCCTACAGCTAGGCGCCTCTGTAGAACTGGCAAGAGGAGGCTGCTTTCAGAAATGTAGGAGACGGTGACCTCCTTGCAGCCATGTGTTCAGCTGGATTGCTCAACAACTCTCAACAATCTCCTTGCACAAAGCATGGTTTTCTCCAGTGTAACTCATGCGTTGCAGTCGTCCTCGCCGGCCTTGATTTGTCGAACAGCCACCAAGCTGCACATTCCTTCCTTGCAGGCAAACCAACTAGCACCCTCAAGCATGCAACATCATGGCTTGCCAGTGTCCTCGCCAAGGACGAATGCACATGTTGGCCGACACGAATGGTTTGCTCGGCTGATCGTCAAGAAAACGCCAGCACCGGGGCCTCCATGGAGTGTGGCTTGGACACTGTCGCCTCCTCTACACCCCCCTACACCCCCGCCTCTCAGCTTCACACTGTTCACCTTCCTCAGTGCACATGCGACTGGACCTCACAACACTGGCGAATCGCTGCAGTCCAGGCTCAAAATTCCAAGCAATCGACGCTGCTCTTTGGAAGACAGTATATACCTGAGCTCACGCTTTACGAGCTCGTCGCAGTTCGTTCTTGTGATTCATATGGTCGTTGTTTTCAGCCAAGTCACCCTGGCGACTCTTCAAGAGCTTCCACCGAAGGCTCTGGACAGTACAGGCCTTACACTAACAAGACGGCAACATGCTTCGATGCTTCAAGCAGATTCAAGCAGCTTCAGTGCAAAGTCCAAGGATCCCCAGATGGCATCTTGGACTTCGCTGGGTAGCTGAAGGAACTGCTCCCAAATCAAGGCAGCGCCTCCAGGATGCCAGATGGCAGGCAGCTCGAAAGCTCCAAAACAGACTTCGGTCGAGGCTGCCTTGCTCCGAGACGGTACCGCCCATGTCGTGCGTAAACGACGCTCTCTCCCTCCGGACGAACAGGGCGTTCGTTCATGCCGCACCTACTGAGATCATTCCGTCGAAGTCTCTGTGATGTTGCTAGAGGACACTGCGGCGAACGACTTCTGAAACGGATCTTGGAAGGCTCGGCTGCAGCTGAAGCTGCTACGGCTCTTGCGAAAAGGAGGAGAAGGAATGAAGGGAGGACCTGCGTTCAGCCAAGTTTTTCAGCAAGCTGTCCTGATCATACAATCGCCGGCGTCAGCATCCTGGCGCTCTCTTCGGTCCGCATTCAACCGAACACCGGACACGTGCTGAGAGTTCTGGCGTCACCCAACCAGCATGCCCGACCTGGTGTACAAATGGAACTGTAGCCCCAGTAGTTTAATACCCTGCTTCCCGAATGAAACCTTGACAGTCCGGGGGAGGATATGCAACAACGCAAAGCTCCACCTCTGTGGCAAGGAGGCAGCGCCCTCGCCCGTCGTGGGTCGATCCTTGTCCAATCTCCTACTCTGCTTCATACTGCGTAGTGTGTATGCGATCATGCCGTGCTTTCGTTGATGGTCAAAAGGACATCTCAACATCTGTCGCAGTGGGCTTTGCACTGCCGTGGAGTATAGATACCATCAGCCATCAAGCCGAGTTTCCCAGTGCCACCTTCAGCATCACGCTTGTCCCCTGCATGTGGCAGCCACAGTCATGCTGGATAGTGACGTGGGCATGAGGCATATCCCGGTGGATGAAACACCGGAGCCATGCGCGCGCGCGCAGAGAGCAAGCTTGCCGACCGGTCAGGTTGCGATGCGAGAATGAGGAATTTTAGGAGGGGTGCGCCAATACTGCAACACAACATCGTCTTGCCTCGTCATGAGTCCGTCGCAGAACCTTTGGCCTGGCAGAACGGGACTGTACGAATTGCCTGACTTCCTTCGCAGAGGCTTTGGTATGGCTGCAGTCCTGGTATCGTGGGTGCCGAGAAGCCGTCTAGGAGTGTGTAGGACACACAAGGCCCAAGTCATAGACCTGCGGACATCGCAAAGCGATTCAAGCAAGCACGACATTGATTTCGACCACGGGATCTCTGGCTCTTTGCACGTGCCTCCATCTCTGCGAGCTTGTCGGGTGGCAGCCAAGTCGAGGTTTGGCGCCCTGAGTCCTGAGCAGTTCACTGTATGGTGAGGGACTCAATGCCCTGAAGGAGCCTGTCTGCAAAGCAAGTATCAACCAGAACTGTCCATCAGCAGGACACCTTCTCCCGAATGGCTGTTCTCGCTGCAGCGGGAGGCCACCACTGTATGACCGAAGCATGGCCCGCGCATACCCATGATTCCCTGCACTGCGGCAAAATATGTATCGGGGGAGCAGGATGAGCTAAACGCCCATCCTGCTCTTGCACACGATGTTCGCGTGTCGTATCTCCGAGCCGAAACTTGCTGCATGTGGTCGTCAACACTAGAGGCATAGCTAGGGCTCGGTAGGGCTTTGATTTTGGAGTCCAGAGCTCGCAGCTCCCTTGTACTCAGCTTCTCGCCGATCGACTACCCCTCCGAGGAAGGATCTTGTCCTGCCGAAGGTCATCCTCAGCGCCCCACATTGTGGATCAGAAAGGGTTTTTTTAGCTCAGATCTATGGAAAGAAGACTTTCCGAAAACCTATCACTGATGACTCCTCGACTCCATCACCCAAGCAACATAAGCAGACGCACTTGGCGACCTAGAATATCTTCGCACGCCTGTCCTGCACCGCCCATGAACAATGAAAGCCATCGCTGCAAGGCGCCTACCATGTAGACGACTGAGTCCGCGGCACAACTTGAAGGATGTGGGACACCTGTGTGCCTGGCAGGGGCTCACCTCATACGCCTCGCAAAGCATACCCGGAGCCCCATTATGCTCAGATCCTCTAATTGGCCCGAGCATACATGTCCCACCTTCGACTTTGAGATACAACGACAAGGGCCAAGGCTGGTCTACCCGGAGACAAGCCAAGAGGAAAGATCTTCCATCTCGCAATGGCTTCTGAATGACAGCTCGTTTGCTCCCTACTGAAGAAACCACACCACTCCTGCAGCTTTGCGTCTACAGTACCTTGTTTGGGGAAGCGTGTGCTTTGCAATGGAAAACAAAGAAGCCTCCAATCGGTTATCCCTTCGAGTGATATTAAGCAAAGAGCATCAGGATGGAGGAATCTAATTTAGACCTAGATGCCAGAGGTCAACAACGGTGGCAAACGAGAAGGATGCCCGGACTGGGTGAAATCGAGATAGGTATGAGCGGATTCGTGTGTCTCTTGTCAGGGCCGTTGCTGATGCCCCACCCTGTGCCACGCATGTTGACAGCCTCAGCACGTTCCTCAAGCTGCCGTCTCGCATACCTCCAGTATGTAGCTTGACGACATGCTGCGAAGCATGTAGGAAAGGTCGGAAACTCAGTGCACCAACATGAACTCGAGGATGCGATGTGAAAACCTAGCATCAAGCAGCACTAAGGGAGTTGACAGAACGTAAGCCAAGCGGCAGCGTCCCGATCTTCTCGTCATTCCGGATTGAACCTGGCAGGTTTGTCTTGAAGTAATCTCTGACAAACCCCAAACCCTAAACTTCTAAGCCCTAAACCCTCAACACGCTTTTTGGTGCCACGAAGCCTCCTCCTGCAGAAGTACTCTCTCCTGCTCGCGACGATCGGTCACCTCCCATCACTGAAACAAGGCAGCACCCTGAACCGTAGCGCTGTCAAGATCTGTCAAGCAAATCACAGTCTGCCCTCTGACATGGATCTCGGGAACAATTCGTCAAGAAGTCTGTGCAAACCCCAGCAGCACTTCAGCAGAACACGTGCCATGCCGGCAGAAAATCAAGCTGTGCAACCCAAGCTTCCTCGTTCTGGCCCCAGCCCACCCAACCTGACCATGCATGGTTCCAAGAAACTAGGGTTCATGCTACTGGGGCTGGGGTCTGGGCAAATTGGCCTGGCAGTAGGCCGACCGGATGAAATCAACGCTTACGGCTGATGGTGCAGCAAGAGGTGCAGTATGGTGCAGAGTCCTGGTGGACTGCTGTTGGGAAGACTGACTTGTACAGGAACATTAACCAAAGACCGCCCACGTCTCCTGCCTCCGAATGAATGCAAGTTCCCATAGAAAGGGCCAGCTGCTTATGAGATGTTATGAGGGCCTTGGCTGCTCCGGCTGCGTGCGCTTGGCATGGACGACGGCGCTGCTGAACCTGGCAGAAGGGGACAACACCATCCCAAGGCAGGATGGACTCTGCATGAAAGGAATTGGCCCTGCCTGCATCCGGCGCAAACAACTCCAGGCATGCTCGCGCTTGCCTTGAATCCTGCAGCAGACTACGTCCGCTTCAAACAGACCTTCTCGAGGAAAGCATGAGATCATTCGACAGGCACAGCTGCAGGTCAGCACTCGCACCTGCCGCCTCGAACACGCACGATAACTGGGTGTGGGGGACGGGAAGCCTGACACATGAAAAGAAAAAGAATGTCACCATGCCTACAAGGGCTTTGCGGCCGCCTGCCTTCTGATGGTTCGGGCCACGCCAGCGGGGAAGCGTCACGGCGTCCTTGCGAGGGCCAGAAATTGAAGCCATCGCGGTACGAAGTGATACGCATGGGCCACTATGGGCAAGGCATGCACATCTTCGTCATGCTTGCATGCAAACTGAAGCCAAACAATTCAGCTCCACACCACCATGAGGCGACTTTCTCAACCGGGTGAAGCCGTATTCTGCGACTTCGTCTGGAACCGCACCTCAGTTAACTGGCAAACTCAATGCCCAAACGTGCCCGGACATGCTCCCTGGTCCACTACAACACCTGAGGCAAGCGACCAACCGTGCTGTTGTTTGCCTTCTCCAGTTCTTCTGGTTTTAACCGGCAGAAGCTCCTTATGCGCTCGCCACCTCTGTTGGTCCAGTCTCTTCACTTCTTCCACCGCTTACTAGTACGGTTTTCTGACGGACTTGTTCTTCCGGGTAGCTGGGTTGTTATTCTCTTCCTCTTCATTTGGTGCGAGGCAAAGGGGCCAGAGCAGCGTGCATGCTCCTGTGACCAGCTTTCCCTGAGCGAAAACGAATCGAAGCATTCGTCACCTGCTTTTCGACATTTCATTCTTCACTGCCGCAGGCGGCAAACAACGGCCAACATGTCTGACTCACAGGCTTTGCAATTCTCAGGGTTGGGCGGCTCTGCCCATGCGGCGATTGGAGTGGGCTGATTGGGCTCACCTTCAGCCGCAGGTCAGCGAGGGATCCGATAAGCCCTGGCGTCGACGCCTGTGTCTGTGGCGACACACTTCTTGCCTCGCAGCGGAAGGGCAGCTTTCGAACGATCAACAGAATTCCTAAGACCGCTTCACAAGCGAGGAGTCCCCTGAGGCAACAGTCAGATCACAGTAACCTAGATGCATACATGAGCTCATGTGGCTGTTGACTGAATTCGCTCAAATTGCTCCAGGACCCGGGTAAGCCCAGCGCGCCCAGCCCGTCCCCACACCCCAGCGTCTCTGCGTCTCTGGCTGTAAAGCTCTGCACCAAACTGACATGCGACGACGTAGACTGCCGCGATCTCTCTGCATCCTACGGCCTGTCACTAAGAGTGCTCACTACCCATGCTTCTCCCCTGCAACGTAGATTTCGCGCCTTCTGCCCAAGGCAAAGGGGGACCTTGGCATTCAGGACTTGGGTCGAGTCTTCGACAATCCATCTGCACTCGGAAGCATCCCAGGATGCAGTCTTGACCGTGACTGGGGCATCCGGCAGAGTCGCTGCCTCGGCACAGGCCGCTGCCGCGACGACCCAGAGCATCACGATGGAGGTCGTGGCAGCCTCACATGATCTCACATGAGCTCCCATGGTATCACATGTATCACAGCGTGTCCGGAACGTCCTGACCGACTTCGTTGAAGATCATGGGAACTAAGGCAGGTAGATGTTCTGCGGCAACTGTGCCCTGACTGCGCCTTCGACTCGAGCCCAAACAAAATCCTCAAAACAAGAAACCGACAAGCTGCGAAAGCCGATGCACTGCATAAGAGACCCCCGAAACCTCGCACGTGACTTTCAAGTCTCGCCTCGATCGCTGGAGGGTTCATCGCCAAGCAGCTCCCAGACAAGACGCGAGTCCTCAAAGCATGTCCACCATGCATGCCATGCATGTTCTATCTGTCCCAGATTGTGGCAGGGTCGGAGAAGGCAGGGCTTTGTGAGGCCACTGGAGCAACAGTTGAATCGTATACATGAACTGACATCACCCCACGATAGCCAGTCTGCAAGTTGGTCCTCCAAGAAGTGCTTCTTCTGCTTTCGTCGCACAGGCACTCCAACGTCATCTGCGCTATCCATGGCTGCTATTTCTGTGTATGCAAAAGCTTTCGTTCACTATTGTCACATGTGATTTACTAGCCTAGACTCATGACCTTGCGAGCCTACTGCCTGTTCCGCTTGGATTGCTATGCAAATTCGATCGTGACGATGCTGTATTCGCAGTGTCCTGGTGCATCCGACAAGATTTCCAAATCATTGCCATCTTTGCCAACATTGCCATCCCAGTCAACTGCCATTGGCACGCAGCGGGCGAGCAGAACCTTTCCACTTTTTCCATCTTCGACAGGGCAAAACATTTTTTGCCCATAGCAGTAGCAGTTCGCAAGCTGCAGAATTCAGAAGGCCACCTCGATCATGCCGTCTTCGAGCGCGAGTGAGGTGATCTGCTTGCATTCTGACCGGTCTCCGTCCAATCCTTTCTGCGGGAAGCGCGGGATAGACTGGCCCTCGGCACAGTCGGCCGCGGCTCGGAGCGCCGGCAGTTCCGAAGCTCCAGCTGGGCGCCGCTTGCGATGAGGGTGGCGGAGGCCTCGTATTGACCCGTTGCATCAGCGGCGTGCTGCCGTGCATGTGGGAAGCCAGCGCGGACAGCGCCGAGCCGGTGCTGCAGGGCCTTGGCTCCGAAAAGCAGCCGGCCTAGGCGACGGTAATCGCGCTTCGTCAAATCGGTTTCTTTTTGCAGGCCCAGGAACTGCACCAGGTCCGCCCCGAAAATAGGTTGCTATGTGGAGTGCTATGGAGAGCACCAGAGGGACTGGCTGGGCCTGGCTGCTGCCAGAGCTCTCTGCAGGTCCTGAGCAGTAACCATTCCTGCATTCTTGAAGACCAGGCACCGACAAGGACAGCTGCACGGAGTTGCGCGAGCGGTGCATCACTGGCCCTCATGCCGGAGAGAGCGGAAGTCTTGCTTGGCTTGTTTATCCGACGAGCAGCCCTGGTGCCTTCGCAAGTCTTCCATCTGCCCCTGCTAGCAGAGCTTGGACGTCTCGCTCTCCCTGGGCTGCCAGGCCTACCGCTGTCTCATGCGACAGACTCTCCTTTTCCATGTCAGCTCGAGCTTCGACAAGGCACCTCACGATCGCCAGGTGGCCAAGGCCCGTCGCTACAAGCAAAGGTGTGGATCCACTCTCATCGCTTCTGTTTACGTCGACTCGAGCAGCGAGCAATGCTTCCAGTATGGCCGTTTGTCCCTGGCGGCAAGCAGCAAGGAGTGGGGTCGTTCCGTTCACATCCGCAGTCTCTGCATGGGCCCTGGACTGCAGCAATGCCTTCACGATCCGAGCATGACCATTCGCGCAAGCGGTCCGCAGCGGTGTCGCACCAGTCGCATCTGGCAGGTGCCGTGCATTAACGTTTATCAGAGCTCGAACGATTCCGTAGAAGCCTGCTCTGGAGGCCACCAGCAAAGGCGCTTCTTGGTGGCGATCAGCCAAATCCACACAAGCACGAGCCTCAATTAAAGCGAGGACAACTTCAAGGTGGCCAGAAGCTGCAGCAAGCAGCAATGGGCTGGCTCCAACCAAGTCTCCCCGATCTAAATCGCCCCCATGACACACAAGTTCCTGCACGATATGCACATGGCCATGTTCAGAAGCCGCACTGAGAGGGGTGGTACCGTCGCAATTTTGAACGTTCGTCTGAGCTTTTGCCTTAAGGAGACATCTAACCGCTTCTAAATGCCCATGAAGCGCAGCCACAAAGAGAGGCGTGTCCTTTACAACCGAGGCTACGTCAGGATCAGCCATCGCTGCTAGCAGCAGCCGTGCAATTTTCGTGCAGCCCACGCGCGAGGCAACCAGCAGGGGACTACGGCGCTTGCGATCCAATCTATCGACGTCGGCCCTTCGGGATATCAGGAGTTCTGCAATCTCGGCTAAACCGTTTTGCGAGGCTGCATGCAGAGGAGTTTCACCGTTTCGATCCGCTTTCTGCGCTGCTTTGGCTTCCAGCAGCAGACGCACTACATGCACCGCATCCTTATGCCCGGCCCGTGCAGCTGCCAAGAGCGGTGTTTCCTTGTCCGCAGCTTCTCCATCTTTGTCAGCGCCAGACTCAAGCAAAAGCCGGAACACCTCGACGGAGCCGTCGCGCGCGAAGGCCAACAAGGGCGTCGCTCCGGCAGAATCCGGGAGATCCTTGTCCGCTCCGGCCTGCAGCAGGGCCCTCATTGTGTCCAGGTAGCTGTTTTCCCCGGCCAGTCTCAGCGGGGTCTGTCCATTCGCATCCGGCCTGTCGGGCTCTGCACTTGCTTCGAGCAAGAGCTGAGTGATTGCGAGGAAGCCGCGGGAAGATGCATGGAGCAGCGGGGTTAAAGCCAAAGCTTCCACGTTTGGATCTTGGGACTGCTCGAGCAGCTCTTTCACCTGCAAATGCGAGTTCTTCCTCACAGCTGCCCAGAGATCCTCTGTCCAATCCGAAAGGCAAGACGACCAGCTGAAGTTCCTTCATGCTCCCATCCCATAAGTCGTCGTCCTGAAGCATGTGGCCCTCCAAGAGCAGCTTCTGTCGAAAGGTCGGCACGCCGATTAAAGCAGCCAGATGTCGCCTCACCGCCCTATTGAAACCACCATGCACCTCTATGAGGATGCTCAGATCCCTCGTGCTGAAAGCGGCGAGCTCGGTCCCAGCCACCGTGCAGACTCGGGCCATCTCGATCTATGTACATTGGAGATGCTGTTGGTGCGCATTTCATGGAACCCGAACACAGGCACACAGGTCTCTGTTCCAAGGACTTCATCAAGCATGGCAAGCAACCCGAACTGGCATATCTTTTTGACAAGGTCGACTTAGCTTCGGTCCATGCCACCTCTGGATGCGCCTGGTTCAAGCAAGGCTATGAAAGCGCACCTCTGCTCGCATGTCCCAAATCAGGATGTTTGAGCGCCTCGCTTTGGAGGGTCTTGCGAAGCTCCAGTGGACCTGTCGAATGCTCTGGAGCCGAAGAGTCTCAGAGAATTCATCGAAGCCTTCTGGAACCTGCACCGCGAGCAGGGCCACTTCTCTCAGCCTTTGCCCGCTGAAAGAGCTCCGGAGGATATGTTGTGCACGGCTCGGCGCAAGGCTTGAAGTCCCAACCCTGCTTTGTCGCACCTGAGAGACAAACGAGGCTTAGCCTCATGGCACTCGGTGCGGGGCTAGCATCGCGCAGAAGATGAAAAAGAAGAAGAGCATCGTGACAGCAACAGCGGGAAGGAGGAGGAGGAGAAGGAGCAAACGATGCTAACGACGGTAAGCATGACCATGATGCGGCCAGTTGTAATGACAACAACGTAATTTAATAATGATGATGACGATGATGATGAGGAGGATGAGGATGAGGATGAAGAGGATGATGAGGATGAGCAGGATGAGGAGGAGGATAATGATGAGGATGATGATGACGATGATGATGATGATGGTGATGGTGCTGATGGAAATGAGGAGGAGGAGGTGGAGGAGGGGAAGGCCTGCAACGCTTGGTCTTGAATTGTCTTGAACGCGGGCTGCGGGCTGTGATGTTCTTGACGCCTCCTCACGCGCTTCTCAAATGCCTGTAGACGAAGCTGTCGCGGGTTCACACGAGAAAGGGTACGAAGCGTTGCACTGGAGCTGTTGGCATTCCGGAAAAAATTGGCCTCTTGTTCATCTTGGCGACGGCGCTTCCGCTGATTCAGGGTCTCCTGACTCATGAAACCCACTGAGGTCGACCCGTCCCAGGTGTCTTGGTCAACCTTGCTTTCGAATTGAGGCCAGCATATCTTGCCCGATTCCCCAAACCTGTAGACCGCAGGCCCTCCACGCATTGTTGAAAGCTCAGGTTTCGAGGCAGCACAGCCACAGCTTAGCGGAAGGAATTCGCTGCTGCAGTAAATATTGCTAGGTTGGATGAGGTTGGCCTGGTTTCTGAACTCAGTGCCGCTTCAGAATGTGTCTTGATGACCCTGGGCTCGGGTCACGCAGCACCAATCTTGCCAGTGCATGAGAGCTCTTGAAACCGCTGGTCAAGAGCTGTCCTGCGTACTCTGCAGCACGGACTGCATCTCTTGTGGCAAGGACAGAACCTCAGGCTGAGGTACTCGCCATGGCCCAAAGTGTGGCAATCTCCGAGGCTCAATCCTCCCTGCTCGTAAGCCCAAACATCGCCCCGGAGCCCTGCCGAAAACTGCAGCCACATGCGGGCACGCCCCTTCGGAAGTCAAAGCAAATGACTGCAACAGAAGGTGGGCTCAAGAAGTGCCTCCTCACATGACGCGGCATCTGAGTCTGACATCCGTAGCTGGAAGGATGCCTCCTGTCAGAAGAGACGATATGCGACCCCTGTTGGTGATTTATGATGAAGACATGCCGTCACGCCCCTCAGAGAAAAGAAGAGACCTCGTCCGACATGGCACCGGCCGGGCGGCTAGACGATCTTCATGACCAGCGAGGCTGGTGCTAAATGTCTTGCTGTCCAGAACTCTTGTAAAATGTCCCGTGTGCAAAGAATCATCTACTTTGCGATCCTCAGAACACTTGAACGACCACTCCTCAATTCTGGAACTCACAACTGCACTGCGACGAGATTCTCTGCTCTTGTATGGGAGCTTCAGGAATAAATACCCAGTTGTAGAAGCCCCGCTTGTCTCTGTCTTTTTTCACCACGGCTGGCTGCAAATCCCTGCGACAGGTCGGAGAGGATGATGGAATTTGATTTGAAATGCCACACCCCTTTGCCTTGATGCAGTAGATAGAATATGTTTTGGTGTATGTTATACTATATCTATATAGAGACAAACTGTAAGGAGATACGATTACTGGATATTCAGACCCCATTCGTCCAGAAATGCAGCTCGAGCTGATTGACTACACAATTAACTTACCCGGATCAAGTATGCTGGAATATGGACTGCACTGTCTGGGGCCATTTCGTAACTCAAGCTTCGAGCCCAACTTGATTTTGCCACGGTGTGGGCTTGGTCGTTCGAAGTGGCTCAAGGCTAGTCTGTCCGAATCAAGGCTCATAATATACTTCAAGTTCCTGGCTTTAGGCCAAAATAGGCTCCATTCTGGCCCTTCGAAAGCATGGACGATGCTAGATTTGGAAGCAGCAGGATATACGAAATAACCCATATTATGTTGTATCAACACAATATAGTAGGGTCAACTACACTATAATACAATATAATGTAATATGATATAACGTAATATAAGACGACATGATATAATGTTGAAAAGTATAACGAAATGAAATACACACACACACATATATATATATACATATATGTATTGTATAATATGCTATGGTATATTATATACAATACATATATAATATCATACAAAAAACATGATAACAGATATACTAGAAAATAAAACATAATATGAAATACACGATATGAAATAATGTATAATACCATATAGTATAATATATAATGTAATACAGAATATCAAGCATAATGTAATATAGAATACAATGTAACATAATGTGACATACTACAACGTATAATATAAACGATACAATATAATATAATATAATATAATATAATATAATATAATATAATATAATATAATATAATATAATATAATATTATAATATAATATAATATAATATAATATAATATAATATAATATAATA